TATAATAAAAAAAATCAAAAAAATTAAATAAAAATGAGAACTTTTAAATAGTTGATTTGATATTAACATTGATATATTTTTTTTTCAAATTTTAATAATATATTTAAATTTATATTTTATTCAAAAATAAAATCATCATTGCTTTCTTACAAACACATAAAATCATATCATAACATCGACAGAGACAAATAATAAAATAGAACATTAAAATCGAGATGTGTCTTGCTGCATTGTACGAATAGTCTTCTAATTAAAATATAAAAACATAAATAATAATTTCTCTTGTTTATATATGGAATTCTTACATTTTATTTTCTTCTTTTTGCCACAAGTGTGAAAACAAAAAAGAAAAATAGGGAAAAGTTTGTAAAAGACTAAGAGAGAAGGAACTAAAATCGTAAAATAAAAGTAAGCACGGGCGATTGTTATTTGTTTAATTTCCAGCCACTAGTGCACGTGGCAGCTAAAATTCAGCACAAGAGAGAAATAACATCACACAACACCAAGATGCAGCACCAACACTCACAACCACCAGTGCAATCCGCCGGAAATCTCATCTCTTCTCCACCGGAGTCGCAAGGTTCTACGACGGACGCCCCTCCGAAACAGGTAGCTCTAGCTATGGATCGTTTAGCCCATGCTGCGCGACTCATCGCCGACATCAGACTCGGTGCCGACCGCCTCCTCGAAGCCCTATTTATCGCCGGACAGCAGCCTCACCAGTCCAGCTCCAATAAACCGTTGCATTTGATCATTCAAGAAGGAGCTTCTATGCGACAGTACCTCCAGGATCTTCGAACTATTGGTAACTAACTAATTTTACATTTCATAGTTTAGGGTTTATGTTTCCAATGGCTGGCGAACAACCTTTGCCTCAAAGTTTAGTTTGGTCTGTTAAATTTTATATCCTTAGATTCGTATCGATTGAAATTTATTTGTGATGACAACAAACTAGCCCCCTCGGATACAACTCTCCTCACCTGCAAAGCAACGAGGATGAAAGGGCTTGATGACCCTTGGACCCGCCTTCGGCATGGGAATTAGTCTAAGCGCCAAGTAAATTTTGTTAAAACAGTAGATCAGATCCTATTTTAAGTATTTATGATTTTCGTCAAACGTCTTTGGCATCAAGCATTTTCTAAGACCCTTTTAGTGATGTCCAAGATCAGGAGGCTTAGCTAGGCAGACCTCTAGACGATACAAATTATTTGCGGTAAGCAACATAGAAAAACTTTCAACATGAAAAAGGACAAATATGCTTTTGTTCTAGGAACAATTGAGAATTGCAATCAAGCTTTATAACAATGCTACAAGGTAATGTTGGTATTATATTCATAACAAAATTCGCAACAGATTTTGAATTTTAAACCTACTAGATCTCATAAAGCATAATTTTTATCTGTAGGGAATATTAGCATATGTTTCGTCTATGAAAGTGAAAGGTTAAAATTAGTATAAGGATTTATGGTTTTATAATTACTCAATTAGGCTTTTAGTGCATCTTAATTTTGGACCGAGGGGTTTAATGGTAATTGCGGTTTGCGACTCATTTCTAGCTAGAACGTCCGAAGGAATTACTAAGTGGAACTTTACCCGTATGAATATGTATTGAGATGACATGGCTTTGGTTAGTAGCAAGGTTCTAAATGACGTGAGGCGTGGCTTGGTGGCAAGGTCAAGCCTCAAGCATCACGAATTACGGCAAGGCCACGGTGTATTTCAAGTTGTGCCCTAAGACGACGCATATATATACAAACACATACACACACATTGTGTATGCAAGTGTTTTGAATAATACCTTTACCATAGAACAAATTAAATTCATATAGAGTAATAAAATTAAAAAAAAATGAAGAATCATTGATACCAATTATATAGAGCTCATAAAAAATGATACCAAGAGTGCAAAATTGGGATTCACTACTTCAATTTTCAAAGAATTTGTGTTAAACTCCTCTTATTTACGGTTTTAGTTTTTAAGTTCCCTTTTTATGTTTATTTAAGTCTTAGGTCCCATACATATTTCACATTTACCCCTCAAATTACATATCAAAATTAACCCCACACCTTATAACGCGTTACAATGCAAGCAAAGCCTTAGAGTGGAGTCACAGGGGTTAATGTGGCGGCAAACCCAAGCCTTGACGCCATAATGAGGCCATAATGAGTTATTTAGAACCATGTTGGTAGTGAACCGGGTTCAGTACTGAGTTTACAATCCAAACCTTTTCATGGCCTTTTTAACATGTTGTCTAAAAATAAACAAGAGAACTTATTACGATTTTCAATGGGAAAAAGAGATGTAAAAGTGCACTATTTCAATGAAATGTCCTGAGGAAGACAGGCATTTGCTGGACGTAAGAAATGATTAACCAGAATTCAGAAATTTTGTACTATTGTTTAGGGACAATTTTGAATTACATGTTGAATATCTGACTTATCAATCTTTTTGCTTTTGTTAGGAAGGCAATTGGAAGATTCTGGAGTTCTCAATGAATCGCTTAGGTCAAGAAGTAATTCTTGGGGCCTCCACATGCCTTTAGTTTGTCCAGATGGTGCTGTTGTTGCATATGCATGGAAACGCCAACTTGCTGGTCAGGCTGGAGCATCTGCTGTTGATAGGACCAGGTGTGCCTTAACTTCTTGGATATCCCTGTTGATTTCTGACTTCTAATTTTTGTTGCTTCTTAGGAGCTTTACTATCCCAATCATCCTTACATTAGTTTATTCTCTTCTTAGCATGCAAATGTTGCAAGTTCAAGATGATTACATGATCTAGCAGATTTTTTCCAATTATAAGAAGGCCTTCTCTTTGGAAAATTTGAAACTTACACTGTATCAACAAAAAATTGAGTCAGCTAAAATGTCTTGTTGATACACCTACAACTTACTGAAAACCTCTGCCACAATGTTTGCTGGAGCGATATAAGCATTTGAAACCTTTTGTTTATCATTCGTGTAAGATTTTATACGCTCTATTGTAGCAGGGGTGGTATGCATGGCTGTATGACACAAGCTTTATGATGGGTATCTGAGGGTCCCATGCTACTACGACTGGTTCTATCTTGTCAGTTATGCTTAGAATTAGGTTGTTTAGAACGTACTTGCTCCATCAAGTGGTTCTTCAGCGCGGAGTTATATCTTAGGCTTAGTAACATTAATAACATGGGAATGCATTTCCTAACTTTCAAAATTAACATGGTCCAATTGAGGGTCCTTGTTTTTCTTGTAAGTAATTGGTTCTGGAGGCTTATATTCATTATCATCACAGACATTATCTGGATAACTCGCCACTTAGTATGCAATCAAGGATCACTGGTTGTGTTGCTTCTTTGCTGGTGCTAAAAGTAATTTGAGAAGTATATTACAAAGGGTGAGTTGGTTCTAATTTCAATATGAAGTAGAGAGATGGTTAAATAGAGTGAAAAAGGAAAAGAGAACCACAAGCACAAATATGGATGAAAGATATTGGCCAATTTGACGACCTGCAGGAATAATATCAAGGAATAGCATATGATGTATACAAAAGAACTTCTACCACTGGAGTCCTTTGATAGTCATCGTGTTGATTTCTCCGTTGCCAATACCATTAATTTCACATTGTTTGCCATCATGGATAGAGTTCGAACCCTCATATAGGCAGTCATGGTCTCACTTTGCAGCTGATTAAAAGTATGGTGTTTTTTTTAGATGGAGGTTTCATGACATTGTTGGAAACTTAATTCAGCATAAGAAATGCAATGTGAATGGTCATAGGATAGATGCATCTCTATATGTGTTTCACAAATGTGGGGGCTTGCCTTATATGGCATGTAAATTCTTGGATGGAATAAGATACTAACATACTATACAACTATTTTGGACATGCATGATGATTGATGGAGGTAACTATTTTGATCAACAAGTGAAACTAGTAAACTTGTTATTTCTGAGATATGTGTCAATTCCTATATTTCTTGCAGTGTTTGTGGATAGACAGAAATGGAAATGTACAAAAAGCATATAATTATAAATTCAGGTTGCTAAAGGTATCTTTTACTCAACTAATTAAAGAGCAATGTTTTGGAAGTAAAATGAGCTTCATCATCATGAACCTACTGAATACATGTCATGCCACTTTATATATATATAACAGATGGAGATAATCAGGCTGGACATCCATGAGTTATTGAAGTGTTAAAGTCCAGGACTGTTTGTTTAGTTTCACTGATAGTTCTTGTTGTGATCATAAAACTTGAACTTTATTTTGGAGAGAGAAAAATCAATGATATATAGAGTCCCTGTTTAGCGTTTTAATATGTTTGTGGTATTGTGTGTGCCTTTTAGGGTTTTAATATGGCTGTAGTTATGTGTGCCCGTGTAACTTCTTTACAATTTATCTGATGCTTGCTCTTGCTACTTGAAATTGCTAGTGCACGATAAACAAAAAAATGATTGATGAAGGCCATTTTGATCAAATTGAACACCAAAGAACCTTTTGCTTTTGATTAGTTTGATTGGGATTCTGTTTAAAAAGCATTTTACTCTCTCCAATCTAACTACCCTCCTCATTTGTGGTTTGTTATGTTCTTGATTGCTCTATTTCTTGAGTTAGGCCAAAGGAGAATTATTTATTTGAGTTGAAGTGGGCGCCTTTTAGGATCTGACTTCTGGGTCTTGTTCATGCACAGTGACTTCTCCAATTTGAATTACGACTAAGAGCTTGTCTTTTAATTTTTAGGTTGGCTCTGAAAGCATTTACTGATCAAAAACGACGGTTTTTTCCTCACCTTGATGAGGATTCTGGAAATGAGCCAGTCTCCAAAAAGCATCGTGGGAACCAAACTCCAACTGTGAGTCAGCAAGAAGAGTTTAGTGACTTGAGAACTGTTTCAGATGTTTTAACGGAACTGGAGAAAGAAGTTCCAGAAGTCAAAACTTCTACTTATCAACGATTGGATTGGTTAAAACGAGCTTCATTACTTCCAAGTTCATCAAGTGAGACTTTGGATGAATCATCAAAAGATCATAATTTTCACAGTTCTAGGGATATCAGACCCGGGTCAGGGGGTGCAGTTGTGGGCGATCAGATCGCTGTGATTGAGCTGTTGATCCCTTCTGTATTTAGAGCAGTAATATCATTACATCCAACTGGTTCACTTGATCCTGATGCAGTAGCTTTCTTTTCACCAGATGAGGTATTCCTACTATTACCCCCATGAATCCTGTTTCTCATGCTTAGCTTTTCAAAATAGGTCATTTCAGTAAGTTGTCAATACTATTGATTGTGCTATCGTGTACGTATATTTAAATTTTTTGGAAGAATTGCAGAACGCTGCATTTTATTTTTAATGTGTTACAGTCCAACAGATGACCCAAGTAGTCAAGTACTATGATAACAGCCTCATAACCCCTTAATACACAATGAACTGAACTACAACTTTCTGTCGGTGTGTTTTCACCTGCTTCATTTAGTTGAAGTTTGATTTGTAAGCAAACATGCGGAGGTGTTTATCATAAATGAATTCCATAGCTCAGATTCTGGCATTTACCAGTAGAGTTACATTCGGTTCCAATAATGCTTCTAGTAATTTTCCAATTTTAGGTTTTCTGTTTGATGGCTTCCTACTAGTGATTCCTTCTTTCACGGCATTGTCAACCGGTCATATCAGCTTGTCATGAATCATGATCGGATCCATGATTGAGCTAATCCTTTTGGCCCTTTTATTTTTATATTGTTTTTACAAGATTGATGAAGTACAAAATTTAAAACACAATTTGTATTCATATAAATAGAAGTACATATGTACCTCTGCAGTCTGCATACAGTTCTTTAAAGCCCAATATTCAAACTTTCTGTAGCTTATATTACAAGCCATTGTGTAGGAATTTGGAAGCCCTAGTAGTTAGCAGAAAATGAAAAGCTTATGAATAAGCTCATCTCACAACTAGGTCTACACGACATGAATTAGGCGTTCATGAAACTTTTTACAGATATTATGGTATAAAAAACTTGTATTGGTACAGTACAAGTTCCGAAGGCATAAAATCTCACAACACAAATTTATATCATATCCACAACAAACACATTTCTACTTGTACGATACATGTGCCGACAAAATTTCAAATTTCACCGCTCAACACAAATTGCAATACAGAAATACTTGTATGTCTATGTTAAAATTCACTAGAGCATAACATCTCAATTTTCAATGCAAACACATTTTAAAACACAGTTGTGAACTTATGCTATATAAGAACAAATGCACTTGTGCTAGTATAATCCTAGTCCTAAAGCATAACATTTAGATTTTCATCAAATTATTCGGTTGGCTAGGGTTTGGCATTTAGGAATGGGATAACAACTACTAATATTTTGGTTTTGTTTTGTGAACAGTGGCATACCATATTTGGTGATACACTGTTTCTGAACACCATTTTACCGGAGATGCTAAAAGTACTGTCTTAGAGCATCTCTTACCGATAGCTAAAACATAAAAATACCGTGTGAATATGTTCCAATTGTTCTCTGAACACTGGCAAAATGGTGTATGCGGGCAGCTGGTTCCTTTTCTTGTTATCTTTTGGGCAAGCATTCTACCTTCTTAAAGCTTAAACAGACAGCATCAGTTGTTTCTTTTCCCCTTTTCTCTAGCTTTTTTTATATGTTGTGTTTAACTGGAACTAATCCAGATGGATCCAAGTACCTGATCCATTTAATTGTTTTAGTTTTTATTAATGAATTTAATTAAGAATTGCTGATGGTCTTTGAACTTTCTTAAAAGGGTGGCAGCTATGTACATGCAAGGGGGGTTTCAGCCTTCAACACATTCAGGAACATCACGGTAATTTTTTTTGGAATATTTGCATACTCAAAATTTTGATACCGCAGACGTGATGCAAAATAGTTTTCCTTAAAAATAACTTCCCTTTCTGACCCTTAAAAAGCCACGGTGCTTTAATGCAGCCAGTGTGTCCTAATGAATACATGTTTTTCTGTGCAGGAACATGCTGCCATGGCTCCGCACCATTTTATCGGTGTGAATCCGGAGACAGCACTATGTTCTTTACTGGTATCATATCTTCAGTCATTTTTGTACTTGAAGCAAGTAGGTTGTATGCAAGTGTCAGAATAATTTATTTCCCAAATACTATATTTGCAGCGCTGGATCTGCAGTTATCAAACTCTATTCACAAAAGTCTGCAGGTATATGAATTTCTTTTGAATAGTAAAACATATGTGTGTATAAGGGCAGGTTCAAATGAGAAATGTAAATGTTTTGAGAACTTGGGAACCAACTATTCATAATGAATATCATGATAGATGATCATGGTGAAAAATATTCATAATGAAAATACCATGATCAATAGAGATTATGATTATTAAGGGTTATTCATCATGACTGATACATAAAAAATAGTTGGTTTCAAAATAGTTATGGTTCTCATTTGAACTTCCCCTTTATGTGTGTGTGTGTGTACATATAATTAGTGCTTTTTAGCCTTAGAGATGGAGATGGAGATGGATTTGTAAATAGATCGATTATTGGTGCAGTAAATGTGGGAAGCTACTTTCTATGGATAAAGAATCAGCTTTGCTATTGCCTCCTGTTCAACGGCCGTACCGGAACTTACATTCGTCAAGTAAGGATGAGAGCATCCATGTCCACGATATCCCGGCCTATCACATCGGCTGTTTTCCCCAAGACGCATAGCATATAGAGCTTAGATTCGGTTGTAGTTTGTATGGTAAATTTAGATTTTTTGTACATATCAATCCAGTTTTGATGCCGTCATGTAATGCCTCATGAAACTTCAATTTCACTTTCATTTCGAAAAAGGATGGTACCTCTGGTAAATTATTTGAGAAACAAACAAAAAATTATTGCGACAGTAGTGCTCATCGTGTTTATGTGCAATTAGTTAAATTTTATAGTGCAGAATGTATCAAAATGTAACAAAGTTTGACTTAATTCTTATTTAGTGTAACGAATAATTCTTGTTATCAAAGGATGTAGCTGAGCCTCGAACTTTTTTTAGTTCGTATCCATTTTAACCAGTAATCTACTAATTTTGTAACATTTGATGATATGGATTATGATGTAGATGATAAGCTTGACGTTTACGCTTTCAAGCATTACATTACAGTGTGATTACTGTTTAAAACGGGTACAAAATAAAAGGAATTTGTAACCTTGTTACATCAAATAGGAAATATTGAAACTTAATTAACACGGGTTGGAAGAAAATTTATTTATTACACTAGATAGGAAGGAAATATTGAAACCTAATTAACACTGGTTTGAAAAAGAATGATTTATTACATTGGATACGAACTAAGGGGCCGTTTACCAAACACTTATCCGATAAGTGTTTATCGGTAAGATTTTAGTTCACCAAAACGACATCGTATGCAACAATTTGCCAGGTAAGCGCTTACCGTGGTAAGAGTCGTCGCCCTCACTTACGGGTAAGATTCATAGTCCTTGTCTTGCTCTTACCGGGGAAAACTTTTTGGTCCTTACCATATTCATCCAGTGAGGTAACATGACGTGATAAGCACTTAACCGGGTAAACGGCCTCTTATGAATTATATATATGGAAATTCATTTATTTCCTATAAGGGTTATTTAGTGCATTTAATTAAGATATTTACTTATGATGTTTATATATAACTTTCGTGATTTAAACATGATTCATTTTTTATTTTATTTTATTTTCTATAACATTTAAAATAAGTGTGATTTAGTTATCATTTGAAATATTTATTTTTTTATTCAAATAGTTTTTTTTTTAATTACAATTTTGGTCAAAAAATCACATTTGATTTGGACAATTTATAGAATTTTTCCCAAAAAAATCACTAATTTTTGTCAAAATATCAAATGTGATATTAATCATAGTAGGTTTAAATGAAAAAGAAATGTAATTTATCTAAAACATCACATGTGATATTATTAAATTATGAATTACCTTTTAAATCACATGTGATCTTGTACATATTAAATGTGTTATATTACACATTATATATGATTCTGTTTCCATTATTTTTCTTTTTCAATAATTTGAACCATTGTTTTTAATGCTTTAAATCACATGTTATTAGGAAAAAAATTACTCCACGTGATTTTGACGAAATTTATATTTTTCAAAATATTATCTTAAATAAAAAAAAAGTTCTTTAAACAAAAATTAAATTACGTTTAAAATATCTTAAATAAAAAATAACTTTTTTAAATAAAACTAGAAGCGTACTCGCACAATGCAGCGAGATACATCATGATTTTAATATTTCATTTTATTCCTTATCTCAGTCGATGTTATAATATGA